CACACACACACACACACACACACACACAAACACACACACGGCAGTGAGCATGTCAAAATGTCTTCACAGACAAACACACAGTCTCCGTCACTGAGGACACGTCCTGGTTTCTCAGAGTCTAATCTTAAATGTATTTGAACACGAAACTGTTCAACATGAAGACATTCACTGAGAGTGGACACAGAGCGACTGGATTCAAAAGACAGATGGAGACAAACTATATTCAGACGATAGTGAGTAAAGTCAATCTAGAGAGGAAAAGATCTTTTGAGTTTTTTCACCGAGACTCTGAAACAAATCAGCTCTGACTCAACGCTGATTCTTTCTAAACAGCAACAACGTTAATCCCGTGCTTTCAAAACTCGGCAGAGAGGAAACGTTTCAACACCGTCAGTTTGTCCTGAACCTTCCTGCAGGACGTCAGCACTGAGACACAGGAAGTGTGACCGAGGTCGACCCTGAAACAAAACTTTATTGTTGAGCAGTTAAAGGTTCAGTGTGTCAGATTTAAAAATACAGATCTCCTGTCATTAAATAACCCTCGTGATGTTTTCTTATACATACGTTATATTTACATACGTTATATTTAAATACGTTATATTTAAACACGTTATATTTACATCAGTAGCTGGTCCATCACGGAGGCCACCATGTTTTTTACAGTAGCTCAGACTGGACAAACGAAACCTTTTGAGTTTCTTTACCAACTGAAGCGGCCACATGTTCGGGTGTTTGAACTTCATGTTTCCATCGTACATCAGAGATCACGTGACTCACACTGGTGTTTAATGCTAGCCTTGATAGCATAGCATTGACCATGTCTTACAAATGTTAGCTCACGCTGGGGCTAACAGTAAATGCTATTAGCATGACCGAGATTATGTAGCATGAAGAAGTAGTAGTTAGCATTAGCAGCACAAACCTGACAGAATAAAAGTTTGAAATGATTCAGTGTCATTGTTTTATCTTTTCAACGGATTTCATGTATTTTATCTTTGAGCAGGATTTTAGATTTTACACGTCACGTCAGCGTCAGTGAGGAAACATGTTTCTGACATAAGAACAGGAACGAAGCTCACATCGCTTCATTCTTCCTCCGACACCTTACGAATCAAATCCTGTCGTCCGTCTGACGGGTGAGTTCTGCATGATGGAGTTCTTTAACACATTTCATTCATCATTTTGTCAACAGGAAACAAACAAGTTTGATATTTCTAACGTAAAACTTTAATATTTTGTTTAATTGCTTTATTTTGTGTTTATTTGTTACAACATATTTTTTGTCAGTACTTTTTAAATTGTCTTTAACTGTTCTTAACCCACTTACAGTTTTTATAAAAACGTTTCTGGGATTTGTTCTTGTGTAAGAAATGAACTGTCACGTTCCACAGAACACGACATTCATCAATATAAAAACAGATACGAACAATTCTGCAAGAACGTGTCATAATCTGTGTTCTCTTTCAAAAGTTCTTAAGAACAAACGTATGAAAATCTTTAAGATATTGGTGAATGAGGCCAAATGACATTAAATGTCGATGCACTCGTATAGTTGCTCTGAACGTGTAGTGAACCAAACGTTCTGACATTTAATTATATTAAAGACTTATTCACCTTTTGAACTTTTACATTCAATATTTTTAAATCTTCTCATACTGTTGATTTCATGTCTCACCACTGCTTGTATGTCGTATTATTAGATCTGTGATAAACAGGAAGTCCTTTGGGTCAAACGAACATTCTCTCTCTTTTTTTAAGAGTTCATTCAAAAAAAGGAAGAAGAAAGAAGGAAGCATCATGTTTCCTAAATCTTGAAACTTTCCTTTGTGAGGTCACAGCGTTTCTTCCTCTTTCTTAGATCCACACCTGTGATTCAAGTTGGACCAGAAAGTCGATTTAAACAGATTCATCAGACGGACGTTAGTTATTCTATAAAAATGTTGTCAGCGCAAAATGAAAACTTCACAACCCCCGTCTCCGGTGGCGGCAGAGGCGGCTGCCCACCTGTCGGGATTCAACTGGAGGGTGTGATCCTGCCCCCTGTCCTTACTATCGATGTCATACTGGGGCTTCTGGGTAATGTAGTCGCCCTGTGGATCTTCTGTTTCAAACTGAAGACCTGGAACCCCAATAACCTGTTCCTCTTTAACCTGGTCATCGCTGACTTCTTCGCTCTCCTCAGTCTCCCTCTGAGGATCGATGCCTTGCTCAGGGGTCACTGGGTGTTTGGAGACGGGTTGTGCCGAATCAACCTCTTCCTTATGTTTTCCAACCGCTCGGCCAGCATCGCTCTGATGACCGTGGTGGCAATCTATCGCTACTTTAAGGTAAGACTGCAGCAGCTTCCTCTTCTTCTATGGTTTGATGTGTCTCTACTTCCTGTGATTGGTCCAAAAGTCCAAACTGTCCAACAAAGTGTTTTCACTGTGAACCAACAGAACCAGGTTCAGTTTGATCCAGAACTCCTCTTCTGGTCTGAGGAACCGTTCACACCTGAAGTTCAGCTTCAGTCTGAAGTCCTCAGACCGATCATTTCTTTGTGTAGAAAGTTGAATAGTTAAGTTGAGGCCTGATCAGCGTCCTCTCTTCCAGGTCGTCCACCCTCACCACAGGTTCAACCGAATGACCATGCATCAGGCTGCGTTGGTGCTGCTGTTGGTTTGGCTGCTGGTGATCAGCCCTCGGGTTCCCATGTTAGCTTACAGCCACATAAAGGGCAGCGGCAACAGGACCCAGTGCTTCTTCTTCACGTCGTACAAAGAGGCCTCCCGCGCCATCATCATCCTGGTCGGCATGCACCGGATCCTGACGGTGCTGGAGTTCTTCATCCCGCTCGCCATGCTGCTGTTCTGCTCCATCCGGATCTCCAGCTTCCTGAAGGAGCGGCAGATGGGCAAACCTGACAAGGTACGCAAGGCGATGCGAGTGTGTGCCGCCATTGTTGCAGTCTTCATGGTTTGCTTCTTGCCCACCACGGTTACGACCATCGGGGTTTGGGTCGTCCGCTCGTACCGCCCATGGGACTGTGCCGCTTTCTACACGTTTACACAGCTCACCATCGTGTCGTTGGGACTGAACTTCCTGAACTCGGCTCTGGACCCCATCGTCTACGTCTTCTCGAGCTCCATGTTCAGGAAGGCCCTCTGCAGCTTGTTGCCCCGCGCCCTGTGCTGTGGTCAAGACGCCACTGCCAATGAAAACTCAGCGTCCTCTTCAGGAAATCAGTCAACGACCCAACAGGAACTGAAATCCATGAGAATGAGCAGAGGGAGTGAAGCCATGTGATCAGAACTTCTCCCAGAATATTGACTACATACCTGATTATTGTTGGTTAAAGTTTCCTTCAGATTTGTTGTTTTTGTAAATGTCTTGGTTCATTTG